TAATGCCCAATGATGCACATACAACCAACAAGTCAATATCATGGATCTGCTTCTTCTGCTCTTCCCCCCAATGCTCTCTTTCCCCACCAAAAATGGTTGGGGAGCCTATCATACACTGTATGCAGTATCTTATGAGGTAGGGGAATTTCCAGATTGGGTCACTTTGTATAATCAATGCAAGATTCCTCCAGTCAAATCCAGGCAAACCTACCTTCCCTCTGTAATCCTCATAAAACATAGTCAACAATGTTCAATTGGTCTCACTGACTAGGATTCTCAGTGGGAAGTAGATTAAGAACAAAATCTTCCCTTCCACCCTTACATGGTTGGATATAGCCTAATCTGTGTGAAGGGGGGAAAAAGTTTACTGCCCTTTAGAACTTATTTACAGGATTTGCTTTTAAATACATAAAACTGGTCCCATTAAAGTTTATAAATTGTTTACTACTATGCCCAACAGTGTTTATACACCATTAAAGAGTGTTCATACTTCTTTTCCAAGAAGTATGACAAAAAGATGGAAGAAAAGTCTGATTCATAATACGATTTGTTTTTTATTGACTTACGTGCATATCCTTGAAAAAACAAAAATGACAAACTGGTGGACAGGTTTGCATTTCATGTTAAAATCAAAATAAACAAACCATATTATAGTTCAGTCTTATGAATTAATAGATAAAAAGAAGGTGGGAAGGGAAAGAGAAACTTGTCTAAAACATTTAAAATAGTGGCATATCAAACATTAAAAACAAAATTGCTTTATGGTGAATTAATTTGTAGTACTATATGTATTTTGTTCCACAATGTAATTTTTAAATCTGAAATCATAATATTAATGTTGTTGTTCTTTAGAACTAGCACATATGGTTAGATAGCATCACTGAAGCAATGAGCATGAAACTGAGCAAACTCAGGGAGGCAGTGAAGGACAGGAAGGCCTGGCGCAATATGGTTAGATAGCATCACTGAAGCAATGAGCATGAAACTGAGCAAACTCAGGGAGGCAGTGAAGGACAGGAAGGCCTGGCGCAATATGGTTAGATAGCATCACTGAAGCAATGAGCATGAAACTGAGCAAACTCAGGGAGGCAGTGAAGGACAGGAAGGCCTGGCGCAATATGGTTAGATAGCATCACTGAAGCAATGAGCATGAAACTGAGCAAACTCAGGGAGGCAGTGAAGGACAGGAAGGCCTGGCGCAATATGGTTCGGAGTCGGACACGACTTAACGACTGAACAACAACAAGCACATATTTTCTCCCCAAAAACCAAAATCAATTCAGTAAGCAATAAAACAATAACAAGGCTAGAATTCAGTGTATCTTTTAAAAACTTTTTACTAAAAATTAAGCTAGCCAATATAAACTGAAATTTACTTTGCATTTACAAAATCTATTCCATTTTGCAATCCAAAATTATCTTGTATAAAACACTGTTTAAACTTCAGAAATAAACAAAATTAACATTGGTTCATTACGCTATTATCTAGTGAATGCCTTCTTTTGACCTGATTTTACAATGTCATCAGGAGATGGTGATTTGAAATCAAATGGAGTGATTTCCATTAAGGGTCCAATTTCATTAATTTTTGCTTCTTGTATTTGCCTGCTGTACAAAAAAGCCTTATGAATATTAACACTTTGATGTTTACATCTCTTTGAAGGGTAATGAAGACATAAGGTTATAGCAAAAGCAGAGGGTCTTGCACACAAAGCTTTTGTCCATGAAATGGTGCCTTTTAAAATAGGTGATTTCACTTTTTTTTTGCTTTTCTTGCTTCCTTTAGTTACAAGCTTTTGCTGCTTCTGCTTCAAAAATAAAGCTTTAGTTTCTGGAAGCATTGTATCTAACTGTATTTCTACAGGTTCTGGAGATAATACTGATTTTCTAATAAGTACACTTAGATCAATATCTGAATTTACAACTGAAGGTTGAACCTTTTTAGCTAAATGAAACTCCGAATGGCTGTTTATTATTTCAGGGCTGTCCACTGCAATAGATTTTGCAATTAAATCTGAAAGTGATAAACTCTCAAGCTCTTTTACTGGAGATGACTTAGAGTGTGTCAAGGAAGATAAGGATCCTGAGAGTTCTGTCATGCCAGATGATACTGGAAGTTGGTTGGCTAGCTGAGACAATGGTGAATGTCCCAATTCCATGTCTGTGAAGCCTGCTGATGGTAAATTGCAAAGATTATGCAAAGAACAAGGCTTGCTTGAATTGCTTCCTTGGTGTTCCTGCAGGAGATCAGCCAGTGATGGACTTTCAGACATTGAAAATGCTAAGCTACTAACCTTTGAAGAACTGCTACTGCGCCCTTGGAAGCAACCCTTGTTTTTGCTTTCCAAAGAATCAGTCATTTTATTAGATGTATTACTTATATTATCTAGCCTTAAATTATCAAAATAGCTATCCAAGCAGCTTTTGGGTCCATGATCAGATTTTTTCTGTAGCATGATTAATGAACTAGCTTGTGCATCTGATGAATCACCTGTTTCATTAAGCATAAGCATGTCCTTTAAGTCCTTAACTTCTTTAAATTCAGACCAACTCCAAGAAGCTTTTTCTGATAGTTTTCCTTTAAGCAATTCAGCCCCTGAATTAAAGCAAGCATCATATTCAATGCAAGATTCCCTACTTGTAGTGCTATTGCTGTCAGCTTGTGGGAGAATGTCACACTTGATGAATTGTTCACTGAATGATAAAGGAAGAGTTTCCAAGGATTTACATGAACCTGTTAAAGTTTTCTTTTTGGCAGAAGGAGTTTTCCAACGTTTGGATCTGAAGATAATTTTATCATTTGGAACTGAAGTATTATAAGTGGATTCAACACTGACAATTGGACCATTAAAGCTAAAGGAGGAACCAGTGGAATCAGAAATGTTTTCAACCAAGTTACTCAAATGATTAATATTAGAAAATATTTCTGAACAAAATAAGCCTTACCTTACAACAGCCAACAATTCCAAGACAGAGGCAAGGTCACAGAAAAGATAGTTTCAATTTCCAAGCAGGAAAGGCAACAGCAAAATCAAGAAAAAAACATGAAAGGCATTTAATTAACAAACATTATTGAAACTGTATTTAGAGTAGTATGCTGTATGCTCAAGAATTCAATTTCACATATATCCTCAATTTAATTAAAACTGCTATTTGAGTTAAAATAATTTAATACAATATATAGTTTGTCTCCAATTATATTTACAGGATGCACTACTTATCTTTGTAAGACTAAGATTTAATTATATGTTAAGTATCATTTTTATATTACATTTATATATATAGTCGTGTGAAAAAGAAAATACATCCTCTTTGAGTTCTATGGTTTTACATATCAGGACATAAT